AGATTGTAGATGCAGAGATAAGCTCTGTGTTAGTAGTGGAGGCGACTCTAACAGATCACAGAGAAACTAAAAGTTGTGCAGGTAAAGAAAGTCAAATTTTTATTAAAATGTTCCTTGGAAATCACATCAGCTCCAAGCAATATAAATTTCTATTAAACAGTATATCATTTTTTAAATTTTTTTTTTAAATTTTTTTGAGGCGGAGTCTCGCTCTGTCGCCCAGACTGGAGTGCAGTGGCGCAATCTCGGCTCACTGCAAGCTCCGCCCCTCCCTGGGTTCACACCATTCTCCCACCTCAGCTTCCAGAGTAGCTGGAACTACAGGCGCCCGCCACCATGCCTGGCTAATTTTTTTTTTTTTTTTTTTTTGGATTTTTAGTAGAGACGGGGTTTCACCGTGTTAGCCAGGATGGTGTCAATCTCCTGACCTCGTGATCCGCTCGCCTCGGCCTCCCAAAGTGCTGGGATTACAGGCGTGAGCCACGGCGCCCGTCCTACATCTTTTTTTATTATTCTCTTTTCCACTTTTAACTGGCTTTGTTCATAGGGTCCATTACAGGTCTATGCTGTGTCACTCAAAATCTCACTATGATCCTAAGTTTTTTAAAGCCTATTAAGCTAACTCAAAAGCTCCAAAATCTCTTCCTGTCTTGAGCTACACTTCTATCTTGCACTTCCTCCTTTCTCAGGATTCATCTAGTCTCTGCTTGACCTAGGAAACTAAACAATGCAATGGAAGTACCATCAAGTTCCCTTCTAAACCTGCAAGCTAATACCTTCACCCTTTCTCTTTTCTTTCCTGCCTGTCTTTAAGAAAAACTTACCTATCCACCTAGATGAGAGTTTATACCTCTTCCTAGGCTCTTATTCCAACCACTTTCTATGTCTGTCTCTCAAAATTTCCTCCATTAATGTCCCAGGCTAAAAAAAAAAGGAACTATTCCCTTTTCTTACTAAAAGAAATGAAAACTGTTTCTGGATTACCTGAGTACCTGAGTTGGGGGATGGGAAGCAGATAGGTTAGAATTGCCATCCTCAAGCAGAAAAGCTCCCATAATAACGTTTTTGCACATTTAGCATATTCGAGTACTGGTGCTTTCAAAATATTGGAAAACAACAAGTTTGATGAAATTGCAGAGAGGTTAAGTGACTTGTCCAAGAGTAGTGGCAGACTGAGAGTTAGTTTGTAGGTCTTCTGAATCTCTATTCTGCATTTTTTATATTATCTGGGCATTATTTGGTGGGGGCAGAGGTGCTATTTTCAGGTAAGGAGTAAATTCTCCATTAAATGCTCATACAGGCACTTCTTCCATGCAATTATAATATTAAATTTAGGAGTAGCCTCTGCCCTAAATAGTTTATTTCTCTTCATCCGGAAAAATATATGGACCATGGTCATTGGAGTACTTCTTTGTGTGTATGTATGTGTGTGTGTGTGTGTGTGTGTGTGTGTGTGATGTGAGGCCACTTGATTCTACACTGACATGAAAGATGATTTTCATTACTGTGGTAGTGCTGTAACTAAAACAGTGTTAGGTAACCTCAGAAAGTTTCAGACTGTATCAGAAGACAGCTTTGATTTGGAGAAATTCATTGAGATGCTATCAGTCCTACTCTGAAAAAAGTATCTCTTCACTCCTAATTAAAAATGTTGGAGGTAGAGGGAAGAGAGTTTTCCAGAATTAACTTCTGCACATCTTTCATATGATTTTTACTATTCCTAGTATGAGATCACACTCAAAAGAACATGATCTAGGCCAGGCGTGGTGACTCTCGCCTATAATCCCAGCACTTTGGGATGTCAAGGTGGCAGATCACTTGAGATCAGGAGATCGAGACCATCCTGGCCAACATGGTGAAAGCCTATCTCTACTAAAAATACAAAAATTAGCCAGGTGTGGTGGCATGTGCCTGTTATCCCAGCTACTCAGGAAGCTGAGGCAGGAGAATTGCTTGAACCCAGGAGGTAGAGGTTGCAGCGAGCCTAGACGGCACTGCTGCACTACAGCCTGGGCAATAGAGCAAGACTCTGCCTCAAAACAAAAACAAAAACAAAAACAAAACAAAACAAAACACTGTGATTCTTTCAGTGGCTTCATTATTCTGGCCCATTTCCTTTTGTACTCTCAACCATCTGGCTCAATTAAAAGGGAGTCCATACTTGTTCCCACAGTGCTTTAAGTTTTGAAACATTCTGGTAACAGCTTTTACACAAAAAGCAAAAGATGCAGGGATTAAAGGATATGGCCACACTTTTTAGGTCAATTATTTCTTATTTTTTTGGTCTATCAAACAATCAAATGGTTTTGTTCATAAAAATAATTTTAGGTCAATCAATACAGTGTGAATGAGTATCTTGTACTTCATTTGGACATGGTTGAACAGTGAAAATGACCTGAAATGTTTCATGAGAAATTATATTTAAGGTTATACTTAAAATATCATGGAATGCTGATGCAAAATACAAGTTAAATGTGCTTTTATGTGTGATAATACATAAATTTGAATGATTTTAAACTGCGATTAAATTACAATTTAGTTGACAATACATAGAGATTTTAAGTGTGGTTTTGGAGGTAAAAAAAATCCATTTTGGTTTTTTTTAACCTCTCAATAGTCTAAGGGTATAGTTGTTTTTTCTCTAATCAACTTTGTTTCATAAGTAGTGCTTAACAAGTAAGCATCTTCCATTTGCTGAGTGTTCAGAGTTATCTTGCAGTTCGCTTACTCACTTTGCAGTCACAAAATGAGAAATGTAGACACTGTACACAAACAAGAAGTCCGTGCAAAGTCAAGCTCTCAAAACCACATGCAAGACTCAGCAGCACATGGTTTAGAGCTCACACACTCCAGGACGATGTAATACAGGCATGCAGATGAGAGGAAAGAAAAGCACCTACATCATGAAAATAGAAGATAATGAAAGAGAATGACATTTTATATATGACAATTATCTAATGCAAACCGTATACCCATAGCCTTTACCAGAGTCGGGATAGGGGCAGAGAAGTGAATTTTTATGGGGACTGGGAAATTGTATATAAATATTGTTAGAGGTCAAGTCGTTGTTAAAGTTAAGGATTTCTATTCTGTACTTGGCCTCTTCCAGGTTGTCTTCCCCAGTTTCTTGCTTTGTATTTCCTCAGCTACATCATGCAAAAAAGATCAGAACTAACATTGGAAATCATTTAACAAGCTCTAAACCTGACAGATAACAAGGGTGTTCTCCACAATTTACACGAGAATTAAATTGGATATAAATACCTCCTGTTCTTACCGGTGGGTGTTGTGATTCCATTTATTAAGGTGTGAAGCAGACAGGAAAGAGATAAATCTTTCATAAGTACATTGTAAATAGGCAAGTGGTATATAAACCATATTCATAGGTAATAGAGTCAAACAATGAAAGGTAAATAGTTGTCACAAAATAGACTTTATCACAAAAAAATGGTCACAAAACTAGTTACATGGAGGGGGGTAAAATAATTGTTTTGCTACTGTTTTTGAAATAATCTGGCAGTATGGAACAACAAAAAATGAGTGATGTGTTTTGATTAAAAATTCTTGACACTGCTTCAGCCAACCCAGCAGCAGAGAGTCCCCAAAAGACTTTGAATGCTGACACCTTTGTTAAACAATAACAGTGATGGAAATATAGAAAAGTGATCAACATGTAGGTGCTCTTTCTTGTGAGATTAAAGTGTTCCTTTGGGGGATCAATTTACAAATGAATTTTTCACAAGAAACTTTGGGATGATTAGAAATGACTCAAGGGGTTTTGCGTGAAAAGTGCTCATTTGATTAGCTCTTCAAATTGTCATTTTTGTCATGGCATGTCCTTCTCAATCAAATACATCACACACAGGTATGATAAACTTATCCATATATAAATATTACTTTCAAATTGGGTAATATTTGCAGTGCTTTCTGCACCATTCCTATTAATTTTGAACCCTTCTTTCTTCATTAGACTATTACTGGTTAAACAGAAAGTACCATTTTAAATTGTACAGGCTCACTTACACAAAAATTGTTTCATGCAATTGACATAATTAAATGTGAGTGCTTTTATTTTCTGAGAAATTCTTAGAAACAGGGTTCTTGCCCAGTGGAGGAGTAGCCATATGGGAAGCCACCATATTTTTATTCCTTTTTTTCTGGCGCTCTATGATACATCATCGAATTTGGATTTGCTGTATAATTTATTTAGAAACCAGCCTTTATAGCCAAATTGCAAGGTAAAAGAAAGTGGGCAATTCTCCTAATAATCAAAAGAGGTCTTTGGACCACATTAATATCATTAAAAGTGTTGATTTTTGAGCAGTGATACAGGAAGGGAGGTTATGACAGGTGATTGTTGATGTTGAATTTGCTTAAAAGGTGAAGGAAAAATATGAAGGGATCCATATTTCCCCCTTGAAAGGAAAGACGCGTTAAACCAGGTACAGTAAAAGGGCACAGTGTAGATCATTTAAATTATAGAAAAAAACATTCTTAAAGTGTGAAACTTCCTATGATAAAATGCTTATGTATACTTAAGCTCCCTGACCTCTCCTTTAAGTTTTCAATTTCCTGTCTTTTAAAGTGTGTTAACCTGAGATCTCTGTTTGGGGGCATCATAATTGTTACTGTTTACTTGCCAAACCTTATTGCAACTGGATCCAACTATTTTTGGGGGGTGTTGGCAATGAGGTCATGCAGTAAAAACCCAAGTCCCAGCTAAAGCAATGCTCTCTCTCACCAGAAGTGGGAACTCTACTACACACAGTTATATCAGTTTGCATCATGTTATAATGCCTTTGCCACACAGTGTAACTAGATATAGCACCATGCAATGCCATGAATTGAGAATGAGAGACTATCTCCAGGGGAGAAAATACACATCCGAGAGAAGAAAACAAAAGCAAGGGGTTCAAAGCTGGTGATTCTGGCTTTTATTCCATTTTGGCTATCACTATAATGCCTGTGGCACTTTCATTTTGGAAAACAGACATACATACCATGTTCATGTCAATGCCATTGGTGTAAGTCCATGCATGCTGGAAATATTCTTCAAGACGTTGCCTCAGAGGGTTGGGGATTTGATGAAAGCGAATGAATTCTTTTACTCGCAGCATCTGCATGTGGTACCTGGCAGTTCCCGAGTATAGTCTTTGGATAATTGCAGATACATTCCCAAAAATGCTTGCATACATTAGTGCTGGATTGGATAAAAAACAAAGTTATGGGGGAAACATAGGCAAGTTATATATTGTTAGAGTATCAAGCATGAGGATTTTGATTATCTCAGTCTAGTGAGGATTTACCATTGGATCATGGGGGAAAAAAGAAGTTAAACTAAAACTGCTTTACATTTCATAATTTTAGTGATAAAGCTGGAGAGGGAAAGTATCCAAATTCATCATGGATTCTAAATGAAAGTGAAAACTCACATTGTTTATAATATCAGCTTGTGGCTGGGAGCATTGACTAGGGAGAAATGCATTTGAAATAAACCCTTTCATTTGAAAAAGAAGGCATGTCATGGCTCACCAAAAATACATTTTCTTGAAAAAAATATGAGGCAAAAGTGTCTTTTAGGGATTTAAAAACCCTTTTTGAATTGGAGTTAACATATTAGTTTTAAATTGTGACTTATTTCTGCCTCTCAGCCTCAAATCTAACTTTGTAGAAGAAAAATCTATTATTAAATTTGAGATTATTTTGAATACATTAGGTTTGTTAAGGGATAACAAATTCTTTTAAGAAACTCAGTTTCTTTGGAGTGTTAATTTGTATACAGTTTTTAATCTATTCCAATTCATTTTCATAGTATTTTTGCATAAGAAACATATCTCTGGCTTAGAAAAATTCACATAGCTTCATTTTTATAGGGAAAAAATAGAACACATTTTTGTTCTTTCGTCTATGGGAAGAAACTGCTATGAGATCCCTTGCTATATAATCAGCATTTAGGAAGAATATCTGTATTGGTGCTTCTTCCACTAAATCTTCATGATTTAAAATAAGCTCTTTAAGCACTTTCTCTCTTTTTTATATTTGTATTCATTTCTAATAATCCTAAAAATAAACGCTATTCTCTGTACAGAAAGTCACATCACGATATAAAATCTGAATGTTGATCTTTGGGCATCTATCAGAAACTAAGAGATATGGTAACATATGTTTAAGTCACTGGAATAGCTATATACCAGGGTGGGGAAAACAGCAACAACAAAAGAGTCTGAAGTATTTAATTAAAGTAAATTCAAACGACACATTTTTTTCCTCAAACAAATTTTACAATTGCTTCTATAAACCACTTAATCATTTCCAAAGTAGGCTTTGGCCAGATTCTGGCCATGTTTTAAACTAGTATGTTTTCCTGAGCACTTGCTTGCTTTTCCATCTCACCTTGTTCGCTTATCTTATCATGCTTGGTTATCAAGATCCTTATGTACCATAGATATCCCAAGTAAGAGAATGTCCCGGGGAAAGCAGTGACCCCTTGTTTTTATCTATTTAAGGGGATGAAAGTTGGGGAGATGTGGTGGTTAATTTTATATCAACTTGACTGGGCCACAGTGTGCCTGGATATTTGATTACACAAATATTCTGGATGTGTCTGTGAGGGGTTTGCAGAGGAGATTAGCATTTGGGTCAGTAAACAAGTAAAGCAGTTTGTCCTCCCTACTGTGGGTGGGCTGCATCCAACTTATTGAAGTCCTGAATAGAAGAAAAAGGGGAAGTAAAGGAGAATGAGCTCTCTGCTTGACTGTCTGAGCTGAATATCAGTCTTCTCCAGCCTTTGGACTTGCACTCGGACTCAGACTGAAACCACATCATTGGCTCTCCCTGGTCTAGACACAGTTACTGAGTACAGATCTTGAGAATTTTCAGCCTCTATAACTGTGTGAGCCAATTTCTTCTAATAAATCTCTTTATATCTTTATCTATATTCAAATATATATGTCTTTCCAATATCTATCTTTTGGTTCTGCTTCTCTGGACATCCAGACTAACACAGGAGATCTCTAGTGAGGCTGAATTGGCATGTATAAGAGACATTAATCCTCTGTAAGGTAGAGCAGATGTTTGAATTGTACCTTCTACATGAAGAAAAGGTGGGCCTAAATTGTTCTTGAGTAAATGAATCATTCTTTAAATAGAGAATTAACAATATTTGCCAGAAATTGATTCCTGTGATCCAAGGACATTCATGTGAAAAACACGCTTTACTTATCTCCAATGTAGTGGGGAAACAATCACATGTGATGTTACGTTTCCAAAATACCTATCACGTGCTCAGGAAGTAGATTTCATCAGAGGGCATGAAATCAATGCTATTTTTTTTAACCTAAACCACACATGATCAAGAAACACGTGTTTTATCTAAACCATTACATGATCAAGAAAGATCAGGAAAAAATCTTATTTATTAAATAGATTTTAGCAAATTAGATGTTATTTGAATGGTAGAGTTTTATCTCTACCATCAAAATTAACCAAAATGTTAGTTTAAGTCATAAACAAGCATTTGCCACTAGCTGTCAAGATGAAAAAAAATCTAGATTATAAGTACATAGCTGAACAGATAAGTGACTAATTCATGGTTGGGCACAGTGGCTCACGCCTATAATCCCAGAACTTTGGGAGGCCGAGGCAGGTGGATCACCTGAGCTGAGGGGTTCGAACCCAGTTTGGGCAACATGGCAAAACCCCATCTCTACAACAAATACAAACATTAGCCGGGTATCTTGCTGTGTGCCTGTAGTACCAGCTATTATGGAAGCTGAGGCACGAGAATCGTTTGAACCAGGGAGGTGCAGGTTGCAGTGAGCTAAGATCATGCCACTGCACTCCAGCCTGGGTGACAGAGTGAGACCCTATCTCAAAAACAAACACACAAACAAACAAAAAAACAAAAAGTGACCTGAAATACTTTTTTTTAGGAAATTCTGTGATTATGACTTTTTAAATTAATATAAAGACATTAATCTTTTTCCTATTTTTTAGGAAGGAAATGGAGCTAGAGATTGTAAGCTAGAGAGAAGAATAAAATACTTATATTCTGTACATATTATTTAGTTGATGCCCAACTGGCAAAAATATCAATCAAAAGCAAGTTGACAGACTATGGATATCTAGGCATCTCTCCTTAACTCAATATTTTTAGTTTTATAAAATAGGGAGTTCTTTTTTCATCCAAATGGTTTGCTTTAGTTTAGGTATTATAGAAATAAAACAGGTATATCTTAAAACTTCCTTCAGCACACCACACCTTAATTCTGATATAGTAACCATACTAATACATTTGATTGGTCAGAAGATATTAGCTGAAACATGTTGACAAACAAATACATCTGCATTCTTACTACATAAATTTAAACAATTCTGTAACTTAATAACATAAATTTTATTGATTTTTAATTTATATGTAAGATGTACCTATTTTAAGTGTATAATTCAATTAGTTTTGACAAATATATACACCCCTGTAAACACAATCATGATATAGAACATTTGCTTCACCCTAAAAGTCTCCTTGTGTTCCTTGGCTGCTTGCAATCACTCACTTCAGATCTTAGACAACCACTGAGCTCCTTTATGCCATTACAGATTAGTCTGCATTTTCTAGGATTTTATATAAGTGGAATCATAATGTACATATTCATTATGTACATTTGTGACTGACTTCTTTTGCTCAACATGTTTTTGAGAATCATTCTGTTGTGTGTATCAGTAATTTGTTTTTTTTTTTTTTAATTGCTGAATTGATTTGCATCATATGGCTATACCACAGTTTGTTTATCTCTTCTCCTGTTGATGGAAACCTTGCTGTTTCTAGTTTTTGGTTATTACGAATAAAACTGCCATGAACATTTGTATACAAGACTTTGTGTGGGCATATATTTTCATTTCTTTTAAACACCTAAGAGTGGAATTGCTGAGTTGTGTGCTAAATCTATGTTTCCTTTTTTTTTTTTTTTTTTTTGAGACGGAGTCTCACTCTGTCGCCCAGCCTGGAGTGCAGTGGCCAGATCTCAGCTCACTGCAAGCTCCGCCTCCCGGGTCTACGCCATTCTCCTGCCTCAGCCTCCCGAGTAGTTGGGACTACAGGCGCCCGCCACCTCGCCCAGCTAGTTTTTTGTATTTTTTAGTAGAGACGGGGTTTCACCGTGTTAGCCAGGCTGGTCTCGATCTCCTGACCTCGTGATCCGCCCGTCTCGGCCTCCCAAAGTGCTGGGATTACAGGCTTGAGCCACCGCGCCCAGCCAAACTGTTTTTCAAAGTTGTATCATTTTACATTCTCACCAGCAATGTATGAAAATACTAGTTGTTCCATATCCTCTCCAGCATTTGGCTTTGTCAGTCTTTAATTTTAACCATTGTAGTGTACATGTGTAATATCTCATTAGGGTTTTAATTTTCATTTTCCTGACGATTAATAACATTTTTTCATGTCTTTATTAGTCATTCATGTATATTTCGTGAACTGTCTTTTCAAATACTTTACCCATTTTTAAATTGAGTTGTCTTCTTATTATGGATTTGTAAGAATTATTGATATATTCTGGATATAAGTCCTTTTTCGACCTCGGTATTGAAAATATTTTCTTCAAGTATACCATTTGTCCATTCCTTTTCTTAATGGTGTTTTTTGAAGTGTAGAAGTTATTAATTTTGATGAAATCCAATTTATCAATTTTTATTGTATGATTCAGAGTTATTTTTGTTTGTTTCAGTTTTGGTAATGTGTATAATTCAAATAATTTTATTATTTGATCTAAATTGTCAAGTTTATTGTTCTTTATAATGTTCTTTTCTTATCCTTTTAATGTCCATAAGATTTGTGTTACTATCTTTCTTTCATACAGGACAGTAACTTACGTTCTTTTAGTCTAGTTGGAGGCTTATCAGTTTTACTGATTTTAAAAATTACTTCCATTAACTTTCTCTCTTGTTTGTTTTCTATTTTTATTGACTTCTGCTCTTATATATTATTTCTTTTCTTCCAGTTGTATTAGGTTTTAATTTGCTTGCCTTTCACTTAGCTTCTTAAAATACAAGCTTAGATTTGTGATTTTAGATCTCCTTTTTAAATAAAAACACTTAAAGCTATAGATTTATCTCTAAAAAATGCCTTAGGTGCCCTATACAAGTTTTGATACATTTTGTTTCCATTTTCATTAAGTTAAAAATAGTTTGTAATTTTCCATG